TTTTGGAATCTTGCCACAAACAGCTATATACAGCCAAATATTTTACAGGTATTTTGTTAAATAAATATCTCATCAAACTTTTTTTCTAATCCTTCTTCCTCTTTAGGTCTAAGGTAAATATTTTTACCTGTCATGTGTTCTTTTTTTTTTTTTTTTAAGTTTTTGGAGGAACTGAGGATTGAACTCAGGCCCTTGCGCTTGCCAGGGAAGCACTTATTCCACTGAGCTATTTCCCTGGCCCCTAATATTTTTACCTGATCATGGTAAAAAATATTGGGTATTTCTTTTTTTAAATACAAAGTTTGGATCTATAAGAATTTTGTTACTTGTCAGACCCCTTATTGAGAATTTTTTAGTCCACAAGTAAAGTTAACCAAATATGTCATTACAGATTATACATTAAATTAAACTATACAGTAAAAGAAAACTTTAAAATCTGTAAGTCCAATTTTATCATTTTCTGACAGTTTTTTAAGCAATCCAGTCAATCAGAAATGTAAGTTAAAGTGCACATTAAAAGTTTATGAATGTCAGTACAAGTATACATTCTCTGATTATGGAATTTTAACTTTCAACAGAAGAATAAGATGTATGCCAAAAGGAATACAATCTATTTTCAAGGAAAATACACAGAGATTATCAACATTAAATACTAAAAATGTATAAATACGTTTGACCAGAATTGCTAGCAGATGCTAGGTTTTAAATTTGTGATACTAGAAGTGTCATTTAGATTGATCATGATTATATCATGATTATATCTTAATTTTAAATTTTAACCAGTAAGATTATACTTAAGTTATTATCTCTTTTCCAAATCTCCTTTTCCAAGTAAAAGTCAAGCTCTTCAACAGAATATTTCTAAGAAACAAATGTCAACCATGGTAGCAGATTAATATTGCTGATGAAAAGGATTTGTTAAGATTGTTATTCAGTATAATCAGCTTTTATTTGAAAAATTTTAGATAGGAAGTTGGAGCTAGATACCATTTATTTCCTATGATCAAGTTGAATTAAAATGTGACTCCTAAAAAAATACAAATATTTTTATTATGTTCGAGTTATTGCCTTTCTCTTTCCTTTTTTTTAAAGTAAAACCTTTCCTAATGTAGACTGAAAAATAACCTTGGTTTCCTGGAAAGCAGTCAGAATCTGCTTTCTTTGTTGCATAAAGAAGAATTATTCCTATAACAGAAGAGCATCGCCTAATGTTTCATGAGAAAGCTATTAGTATGAGATTGTCACACTTCTTAGATAAAAATTTAATGCTGAACATTAATGTAGAAATTCATTTTCACAATCTCTCTTATGTCTTACATCTCCCTCTGGTTTGATGAAGGTTATATGATTAGGTTAGGAAAAAATAATGAACTGGGCTTTAAAGGTAGAAAGATGATCTAATTTGTTTTTTCTCTCCACTCCCAAGAAAACAGAACTACTATTCAGTGAAAAGAATGATGGTGAGCATAGGACTGATTTTATATATGGAAAGCTCTGTGCCAGCAAAATTAATCTGCTGGATTTCATACATGCAAGGCAATAAAATGATTTGGATGTCCCCACCAATCTCACGTTCACACACATATACTGTGTGGTGCCACCTATTCCTTTCATTTTTTATCTCTAAGTTGATGCGTTTAAAACAATTTAGTGTACTGTAAAAGAGAGAGGACTTTGCCAAGATTACAGTGGAAGAAAGTCTGTTTTCTGGCCAAAGCTCTCTCTCCTTCCTAAGTGACATCTCTTCTGTTAATATGTCCATAACAAGTCGCTTCCTCCGCCTTTCCTTGGTAGCATTAAATTATTGTTCTGGCTGATGAAATCCTTGAAGAAGCATCTCTTTTCAAACAGAAAGTCAAAACTTCATTCAGAGAGCTGGGCATAGTAGCACATACTTGTAATCCAGCACTTAGAGGCATCAGGAGAAATCCTCACTACATAGTGAGTTCACAGCCATCCTCCCGGTCTCAAAAAACAACAACAAAAAAAGAATAAATGAACTTCACTGGGTAAAGAAGTCTCTTCCTCTTGTATCTTTTCCTGCCTTTGATTCAGAACAGATGTTTTTGGTGCAGCAGTCATCCTGAGCTGGAGCGAATTAAGCCAGCACACAGGATAGCTTAGCAGCATAGGGGTGCTGTGGGCAGCTTGACTATATCTGAACCTGTCTCAATAGGGTGCTCATCCAGTGAGGAGGAGTAAGTTGCTATCCGTACAAACAACTGAGATCTAGCTTTTTGTTATGTTTTATGTTTTACTCTGAGTAGAATACTTTATTGACTGCTCTATGGTTATTCTAAAATTGTATTTATATTGGGTATTTGGGTGACATGGAGGAGATACTAGACAAGAAGGAACTATGTGTATTTCTAGCCAATTTCTTGACAAACAATATTTCTAGAGGGACTATCTTTCCTGGACAACTTAACAGCTATTGGGAGAATAATCCATTGTGTGGTTGGGCGTTGATTATTCAGAATGAGTTAACTAACCAAGGCCCTTTGAATAGGCGTCAAGTAGAAATTGCTATTAGTGTATTTTATTCCATGGCTATTCCCAATTCCTGATGAGACATAATTTTTATTATACAAAAGATAATCGAAATACACAGTGAATGTTTAAAAAGGAGTATTATAATAAATGACACTTTGTTGTTGACTTCCTCAAATTCGCCCCTTACTTCAAACACACTTATCCCATCATGACTAAAACTTTCTGAAGGAACTCTGGAAGTCCTCCTTTCTATCTTTACAAGGTCTGATTTTAAAAAAATAAAAGCACAGTGAATGCTACAGCTAAGTGACGTCCAACAGAAAGGCAGGCTCGGAAAACCCTTAGTGTGTCCTCATCCACTTTATTTATTGCATCTGACACCGTGCAACCTCTGGCTCTGCACCAAAGTTGAAAAGTCCTTGAGGGGTAAATGTTTTGAATGGACTCAGGACTTGGAACCACCTAGGAAAACACAAATAACAGCTAAGAGATCTTCCAGAACAGTTTCAGAACATGCAAGAATGATGGGATACCTTTTGGCCAGAACTACTATCCTCCAGTAATTTGCGGATGTGAAAAACACAAAGGAAATGAGGAGGAGAACCTGGCATATATTCTCTAGACTTTTTAGAAAACATGAGGTTGTTCATTTGACCACATATATGTGGATTTACAAAAAGGTGGATATTGTAGACATCAAGGAATGGGTAATATACAAAAGGGAATGTCACACAACTGTTACAATGGCGAAACTGGAAGAGTTGACACTGTTACCCATATGCAAGTTAAGGGCAAGATACTTGCTAAGAGGATCAATGTGCATATTGAGTATACTAAATACTCAAAGAGTATGGATAACTTCCTGGACTGTGTCCAGGAAACTGATCAGAAAAAGGAGGAAGCTAAAGAGAAAGGTGCCTGAGTTCTACTGAAGCAGGAGCCCTCCCCACCTAGAGATGCACACTTTGTGAGGACCAATGGGAAGGAGCCTGAGTTGTTGGAACTGTTTCCCCATGAATTCATAGCATAATCTGGGGATGGAGCCCTGCTAGTCAGCACCTAATTGGTGGCTAAGTGCTCCACTTCTTATTTAAAAAATAAAAAATCATCCTGTACGGATGATTTTCTTAACAGATGTGTGGTGCTTTTACCTCAGAAACAAATATTTGGAGCAGATTTTTATTCTACCTAATTAAATGTGTCAGGTCTTTACTCTTCAGTGTTTTTCTTGAAGAAATATATAGCTGAAGTATTGTGTAGCTGTATACCCAAATGGCCAAATATTTATAAAATATTTATATTGGCTTGAAGATCCTGTAAATCACCAATGGGAAAAGATGTATCAAAAGAAATGGAAGTCATTTCAGTTAAATAAATTGAAGTACATTTCAGTTAATTTATTGTTAGAGGGCCTACCAGGTAGCCCAGCTGACTAAGTGCCTGCTTAGGCAAGCACAGGGACCAGGGTTACATTCGGGCAGCACATGTGGCACTGGCCCCTTCCTCAGGTGCACTGAGCCAGCCACCAAGTCCGGATATGGTGGTGCATGCCTGTAATCCCAGTGCTGGGGAGGCTGAAAGCAGGAGGATCACTGCAAGTTGGACCTACATAGGGAGACCCTGTACCAAATACATAAAAAATAAAGAAGTACAAATATTGTTAGAACAAAAAAAAAATGATGTGATGTGTGTGTTCACTGAGAGGAAAAGCAGTCTGAGTGGAATTAATGGCAATGGCAATAAGTATTTGATTGTAATAAATGCTTTAAAATTTAAATATTCACTGAAAATTTAGATCATACTTTTTATCTTGCTTTTTCTATACTTGGAAATTCTACCCACTCTCAGTGAGATGAAAAAGAACACCTTTGTGTAAAAATAAAAAAAAAAACCTTCTGACAGAAGCATTAATTTCAGATTCTACCTTGTGCTAATGTCACACTGATTGAAACAACCTTTCTGAAGGGACATTAGGAAACTTTCATCAAAAATCTTGAAACTGTTCACATTCTGTGGTTGTGCAATGGTATTTGTGAAATTTATTTCAAAGATTAACCAGAGATAAATAAGTTAAGTGACAAACAAGAACAAATTAATTAGTTATTATTTAATTTGTATACTGGCATATTGTATTTTCATTAAAATAATATAATCAATGTGTACTATAGAGTAGTAAACTAAATTAGCAAATTATGAAATATTTATATTAGTCCAGTCTTAATAAGGTGAAAGAAAATAAACTAATAGTATATGTACCAAACTATTAAGAGTCTTTGTCTCTGAATGCATGAATTGGGTGGGTTTTGTTTTCCACTATAAGTATTAATCTTTTACGAATATCTGCAATCAATCTACATTACTCAGTGGAAGGTTTTTTTAAAAGATATGCTGTTATTAACAGTCTCCCTCTACTTTAACATTGAAAGTAATCTAAAATATCATTTTAATTGACTACATTTTTTCCGCAAGAATCAGCCTGACAGCAATCGTATTTGTTTTCTCCATAGAAATTCTGAACGGCGGTGTCTACGTAGATCAGAACAAGTTCCTGTGTTATGCAGACACTATTCACTGGCAGGATATTGTTCGAAACCCATGGCCTTCCAACTTGACTCTGGTGTCCACAAATGGAAGCTCAGGATGTGAGTAACTTTATCCCTTGCCATATCTCCAAATGTTCCACCTCATGTGAAAAATGAATCATTTCTGTTCATCACACCCTTAATATTTTGAAATTTGATGGCACCGACTGAATGTTTAGCAATTTGTGGCATGATTGTTCCCCTTCACAAAGTCTCACTTTTTCTATACATGGTTCCTGTTGGATCAATCTAAATTATTATTTTATTTCTAATGTCCAAATACGGGCGCTGTTGACCATAAACTTAAGGTTAATGTTTCCATGCTTTGATTTTTATGACATACACTGTTAGGCAAAGATAGTAAGACAGAAGTGTACTTTCTATTTACTGTAAATTTAAGGTGAAACACATAATTAAAAAAATTGAGCATTGAGATTTCTAAATACTTGCACTTCCCTAAATCATTGTAGTCATATTTTATGACAATTTCAAAGTCTATGGAATATATGAATTCAATTTCATATAACAAGTGTATTTACCTTCTAATTTTTGTCATTAGATTAATAAACTGTTGTATTTCCTAATTTTACAATATATATTATTTCTACAAGAGGATTTAGCAGATTCATAATTTTTAACATGATTAAATGACAAATAATATTGGAACTATCATTGAAATCTTTGAAAATTACAGTATCTGAAATCTATTTTATTTTTACATATTAAGCTATGGTGTCTCCACATTTATTATTTCTGACATTTGTATGAGAACAGAATCTTTATCAAGTATTAACCTGGGTTTTAAATTTCTCATATATTATTATATATTTCCCACCTGAAATCATAACTGTCTCCACATAGTTCAATAATTATTTGCTACAGTCCTAATTGTATTATGATGCCATTGTAAGAAATCACACTCCAAGAGACAATTATTAGATTTCTTGATGGTCTTACTAATATAATGGGAAAATATAAATATATTTGATCAAAACTGACAGCTGCAATTTTAATAAATGGCTAAAATATTTTTTCAAAAAGTAGAGTAACCTAATTTTCTTTTTATTTTTAAGCAGAAATTTATATCAGACTCTGTCGTTGTAGTATTCAGCTGGCCTACTATGTAATATTGCATGTGAAAAAACCTTGAATCTTCGCATGCTCGCAATGCAAATGATGTACTCCAGAGACGGCTTCTGTTTTGAGTCTGCCCCAGCTAGGGTACAGATTATTTGGGAGAGGAGGAAGCGTTTGGACTGTACAAGGGGAAAGGCCTCTTTGACTCTGCCTGTCTGAATGATGAGCCTGTGAGGCATGAATCAGATCAGGCAAAAATAAAACCTGAGACAAAAGCCAAGAGGAAAATGTGCCCATCAGCCTTACAGTGTTTGGAGCAGGAAAGGTCAGAGGGGTTTGCTGCACTTTCACAGATGGTATCTCTTTGTGCTGTTCTTTTTGAGGGCTAATTGGGATGGTTTTGCCTATAATTAGGCAACTGTGGCTGCATTTTTTTGCATGCAAATAATTGCAGGTGCAAAAATTATAAATGCAGAATGGGTTCATAACCAGTGGTCCTTTGCAAATTAACCACCAATTGTTGTCAAAGTTTTAATGCTTATGCAGTATTTCTATTTGCTGACACATTGTAAGTACTTCACAAGGCTGTGGCTGATAATAATGCATTAGCTATTCATCCAGTATCGATAATGTATGGGTTTATTCTACTAAAGAAAGTAAGGCAGTCACTAAATGGCAAATGCTACATGATACCATTCATATGAAGTATTTATAATAGTAATGCTTAAAAAATCAGAGTGTACATATAGTGGTAGCTTCCTGTTCCTTAGGTGAGGGGAGTAATATAAAGTAACTCCTTAGGGAGTATCCAGTTTCAAATTTGTTAATAAAAGAGTTCTAGAGATCCATTTCCAAAAGTTCAAATTCAAGGACTTCCAAAATTCTGTTCAGAAATCTTTCAGGTGCCTGAGACCTCCTTGCTAGGAGATTGGGGACTCAACTGCTCTTCTTGGCTTTCCATTCTGGCTCATTCACCTAAGGAAATGCTTGCAAGAACTCTGGTTAAAGAAGTCTAACAATGGCCCTAACAGCCTGCCATTGTTACTGGTATAGAATCAAATCTATACAAAGCCATAGGCTTGGAATGTTCATCAAATTTTAGCCCATTTTTCAGCTCTGTGGGTTCAGACCTTAAAGTTCCTTTGTTTTTCATTTCTTCCCTTTTCCAGAATAAATTTTAATTATCCATTAAGTCTGTTGTCAGGAATTAACTCTTGTGAGAAATTCTCTCTTGCTCAATCTGACCCCATAATAATCAGGGATGAAATCTGGCATTTAGTCTAACATTTAAGATTGAAGTTCCTGAACAAGCCCGAACTCATTATTTTATCCTCTGCTTCAGTACATGAGAGATGGACAACAGATATTTGCTAACAGACAAATACATAAGTTCTTGTCTTAGTCCATTTGGTCCATCAAGGCCTGTTAATGCTCCAGCATAGCCTCTTAAGTGCTACAGCACACAGACGGAAGTGCTGGCTCTCCCAAGGTCAAAGAGTGGAAGAGAGAAACCTCCTTCCACAATCCCTCTCTGTAGACATAATCCATGAGTGCACAGTACATAATTCATTAACCTTTCCCCACACTCTGCATCAATAATCATTTCAGCATGTGCTTTGGAGAGGGAGTAGTGAGTTCAAGGCCAACCTGGACTATATAGTGAAGTGGTTTTAAGAAATATTTTAAAAACAATCTTGTTTTTCATTGACATACATTTGTCCTAAAATTGAAACAATGCAAGAGTTTTGGAGCATCCATAAAAATAAGTAAAATTAAATGCTTTCTTTACAAATGTATGATTCAGAAATAACACCAAGTTGTATTTTCTAAGATATCCTTAAGTTATCTTCAGCCAAGCCTCAGACGGATGAGAAAAAAAATGCATTTTTTATCGCGTACATTCCCTTGCAGGATTTATGATGCACTGTTCTAACATTCTTAGGCACATCAACAGGGCTTAATCAGTGAATGAACCCTTCCATAGACAGGGGGAGGATGGAGGTGTGATGGCAGATTGGCAGATGGTATCGCACGAAATTCACAAGTATATTCCCAAGCTGATAACACTGGATGCTCTACCTATAAAACCACTAGTTTAAAAAACTGTGGTTTTCTCTTAATGAGTTGTATATATTCTAAGAATTGTTTGCTTCTAATATTGTGCATTGTGAACATATATTTATTTTCTTGAATTAGAAGATGATTAAGTCTCAACATGTAGTAGAATTAAACATGGCTTATTACGTCATCAATTATTGTACTTCTTCCATAATGTTTGCATAATTTAGATGTACTCTTCTATTTGAACTTGTGCAAAACTTTACAAAATGAAGCAGAAAGAGGATTCATTCCCAGAACATTGCAGTACAGCTTCAGTTGCTGTGTTCTGCATATACATAAATACACTTTGTTGTAAATTCACACATCAAATCAAATCACATAGCATTCTTAGGACACTTTTTAAAATAAAAGTTTAAATTAGGGGAACAAAAATGAGTAAAGTTACATATAAAATATATTTTTTAAAAGCTATAAAGTACATTTTCATGAACTTAAAACAAAAGAAATAATGATTGCTTATTATTCAGGCACAGTTATTCTAAGCAAAATTTAGCAAGTAGATCATAGAGTGTATTTTTTTAAATGGAAGAAACACTAATATCTAGTGACAGCTCTGCTATCTTTTTAATGCAGTTAATGAGAAAATGAAGACTTCCAGCAACCCATATTGAGGAGGGCCTTTAACATTCCATTTGGGAGAAAAGGAATTCCAGGCCAAACAGAATTCACCCTAGCAGTGACCTTTGTTTAAAAACAGTACAGGGAATGCTCTCAGGATACCTGCTAGCCTGGCTTTCTTCTCCTGGAAATGGAATCGAATTATTTCCTTTTTTTTAGCAAACTTTTCAAGACAGATCTTTATTCTCATCATATGTGACAAGTTCCTATGAGTCACTTTTTCATGAATTATATCTATAATGCATATAATATATATAGATGTATTGAAAAAGTTAATTACACCTAATCCCTGCTTCGCAGAAAGGAGCAGGATTTCCCCCACAACACAATTCTTAACTTCCCCTCTAGGGGGCAAAACAGAAGAACTTTCATGCTGTTGAAGACCTTTGAGAATTCACCTTGGTCCTCATTCCTCATGCATTATTGCAAATAATTATAAAACTCAACTTATCAACTAAATACACTTGCATACAATAAATACATAAAGGTTAAACATTAAATGTACATATATAATAATACATTGGCCTCAGTATTTTGTGATTAGGTCCTACTCCCATTTACATGTAACTCACCGAAAGCCTGGAAATAATCCCATAAGCACCTGTAGGCTTATCCAGTTACTATCAGCACCCCCACCTGCGCCAGCAGGACTCTGGGAAGCTTAACCCCTTGCTGAGTTGCCCTTCCACTTCTCTTAGACTTGGTGCATCTGATACCTCCAAACACGTGAAACCAGCTATGCACACTCTTGTTAATGCTAAGAATGGTTCTTTTGAAGACAGAGCTCAAATGTGGCAGCCATGCTCCTGCTGTGTTAAGAGGAGTAGGTTGCCTTCACTACTGAGACCCTCTGACCATGTTAGGATCTTATGAAGCAGCTCCTGAATTTCTCCTATGTCTTTTGCTTCTTCAGCCCAAGGTTTTATTCTCTGCTCTGCACTAAATTAGTAGAAACATCAACTTGTTATGTTTGGAATTGTTCCCCCCAGGTGCAGAATACGTCACAGCTCCCTTAGACAGGTTTTATTGGTACGTTTCCCTAAGCAGTTTTTTTTTTTTTTTCAGCTTTAAATTATACCACATGTCGCTGTTGTGCTGGCAAACATTTAATAGATAATGTCTGAGAAATAAGAGGGGAGGACCCCAATTTGTATTTTACTGATTTCTCTGGTAAATGTCTGAACGTTGTCACTTTCAAGCATTCAAGTGGAATTTGGAAGAGATGACCTGGGAGCACACTATTA